GGCAGCATCATCCTAAACAGGTTCCACTGTACACTTACACTTTAGTATTGCTACTTTTAAATACGTAAAAAAATTAAATCAGGAGAAACCAACACTCTTGCATATAGTAATGCAGTGTGTACTGCATGTGTACTGTATAACTGCATACAGTAATCCCACTGCAACTACTGGTTGTAATACTAAAACATTTGTAGCAACCTGTTGCTGAAATGAATGTGAAAGCTGAGCCGCCATGAGCTCCTACTTGATAATCATGTGGGCACAGATTTAGCAGAAATGAGTCTTATCCCTGCCTTTGGGGCCAGCAGATGAGAGGAAAACATGGAGGCATGACAGATGTGCCAAATTCAGTGGAGCAATATCTTGTGTTTTCTCCTTACATTATTTTTTTATCCATTTGTTGTTTATTTTTATGTATTTATTTTTTTACTTTATTTGCTTAGTCTTCCCTCTATGTCTCACTTCTGTTCTGTAGCTTTGTTTATTATGGCTGTAGGCTTTAATCTTTGTCTATATGTATGTACGTTTGCATACTTGTATTTGTATGTGTATTTTATCCAATATGTGAAGCATTTTCTAACAATGTGTTTTTTAAAATTATTATTAAATTATTCAGACCATAACCTTATAATTTCCAGAATACCATACATGTACATTATGTTTGGTATAAAAACCTTAAATAATGTAAAACATCAAACACAATTACACGTACATTAAACGTCTGATTTATATTGAATTATGTTTTGTATGTTGGCGACTGGCACAACAAGTCTCACTATGCTTGGGTCCTAATGTTATTATCAAAGTAATATGTTTGTAGATTGTATTTAACAAATACAGTACAGGATCATCCACTTATTCTGTCTTTCTCAAGCAAAAAAGAAATCGGCTCCCATCGTTCACTTAAGGGAGTGGACTCACGAACATCACTAGCTCTACCACTCTAAGCAACAAAAACAAGCTTACATGTTATTATTATTATTATTATTATTATTATTATCTATTTTTATAATATATATAGATTTTTTCAAACTTATTTTAGCAAAATATGAGGATTTATTTTTACATAATACAGCACTACTATCTTATCCATCCCCTTTTTATTGCTCATGCGCCCTAATTAGTGATGCCAGATCATTTGACCCAAAGATATATTATATATTACCACTTCTGGCTTTTATAATTCAGCTAAACGTAGCAACATTTTGACTTACTGATTGGTATGTGTGCACATATATCACCTAAATTATTCAAGTATTCAAGAATTCACCTTATAATTTCCTGATTACCAAAAGTTTACATTTCGTTTGGTACAAAAACCATAAATAATATAAGAACATCAAACAGTAGTGGTTAGACATAACACACTGAACGTTTAATTTATATTGAACTATGTTTTGTAGGTTGGCGACTGGTGCAATATATAAGTCTCACCAGGCTTGGGTCTTGATGTTCTTACCAAAGGTTTCAAGATTGTATTTAACAAATATATTATAGGATCATCCTATCATTCGGTCTTGATTTTTTCTAAAAGAAAAAAAAAAAGAAATTGGCTCCCATCATTCACTTAAAGGAGCCAACTCTCTCTTGAACATAGCTGTAAAGTCATAGCAACAACAACTGGCTTGCATATTGTTATATCTATTTTAATTAGATATATATATTCTTCTGTTTTCTTTTATGTACATTGTATGCAATATGCTGCTTGTAAACCTTAAGATTTTTTTTTAATTTACATTTTAGTAAAAAAAAAGACAACACAGCGCACAACACACAAAACAATACGCCAGAGGTTACAGTATAGAATATAAATACATTTAGAGCTACAACTTAACGATTAGTTGCAACATCAAACTGTCAGACTGTCAAACCATTTCTCAAATCAATTAATAAATCAGTCGAGTAATTAATTAAAATTAAAATAAAGATTTGGGTTAAAAACAATCCATCTAAATCTTTGTAATCAATATATTCTATATATATCTACAATAATTCAATAGACTCATTTTTGATGATGCAGCACTACCTTATCAATCTCCTTTTTATTGCTGAAGAGGGATAGAGTGGAGTGAGCAATTTTGTAGTGTACATCTGGTGAACAGTGAACACTCGTGTAGATTACATGAAGAGAGGGAAGGCAAGGGGGGATAAGAATGAAAGGGCTCCTCCACGACTGCTTTACACAAGGTAATGATGACATAGTGGATAGTGGATACAGTTTTAATAATAATTAAAAATCTTGGCCAGATTCACATTTGTCTTCTAATTTCCTCTCTGCTGGGTCTTTGATCCCTGCTTGTTCCGGAGGAACACCCCACCCCCAGCGGTCTGGTGGCCCCACAGGGCAAGCCGGTGGTCCTCGGCCGGTGTTTGTGAAAGGGCCCCAAGCTGCCTAGCACCGTGGCAAATGAGGCGCGTGACTCATCAGACCAAACACGGGATTAGCTGGTAATGATCTGGCAAATGGTTTTGAAATAATAATTATCTGTCCCTCTGGATCTATAAGAAGAGAGGAAAAAAGCTGGGTGGAGTGATAAAAAGAGAGTGAGGAAAAGAGGTAGTATATGAGAGAAGGCAAGAGGAGGATAGAGGTAGGATACAGCACTTATAGGAAGCAACAAAAATACACTTTTACATTCACTGTCAGCGCATTTAGCTGTGTGAAATTCACTTCAACAGCAACAGGACAGAACTGAGAGCTGGCTCATCAGTGCTCACGTTATGGAAGACAACAAAACATACATCAATACCAACAAAACCAGAAAAATGCTGTAAGCCATTGAGTGTTGATCTTTGCTGCCACCTGCAGGGATCTGCACAGAATAACCTGCTGCTGTTATATGTAATCCTTACTGATCCACGTGGGGTTCTTTGGGATTGTGGCAGTGGAAAACCAGCAGAATATCAGCACAACCAAAGATACAATGACCGATAAAAACTTAAAATGGTGAATAAGTGAATGAAGCAAAAAGAGAGGATGTTTGTAGCTCCCAAACTGAACAATGACACAGTTCCCAGTGCTCTGATAAATATTCCTAAATAGACTCAAAGTTTTGCTGGTCAACATGGGCACAGTTTTTCAGATAAAATAATATTTTTAAATACAATCTTATTGACAACAGAAATAGCTGCTGCCAGTTTGCAAAAATGAAGATGACGTGATTATATACTAATAAAAAAATACCTATGAATATTATTATTCCAATTTCTGCCAATAGATCCCTCCTCAATGTTACACACTGGACTTTAATTCAAGCCAGCTACCTCAGGCATCTCCTCCTCCTACCCATTTAAAACTCCAGAATCTCTGAATATGCAAATGTTTGTTTCTAAAGTTCTCCCTGGGACACAAGATCTCCTCCTTCATTGTAAAGTCCATTCTCAGTGGATGTGCACTGGTGGCTTCAAGTTTCTACATCACACTGTACAAGTTGCATTTTGTATTTTATTTAATTTGATAAGATTTATTCGTATTCTGTCTTAACTGATTGTGTTCTGTTTTTTTCATGGTTTGTGTAATCCTGTTATTTATCTATTGTTCAATTTAATTAATGCTGCCAAATAAATCCAATAAGCTATGTTACTTGATTGTAACTTTGATGGAAGCTTGAGGTATGGAAGCCCATTTCCCCCAATGTGATGAAAAAAACGACAAGATTCAACATTATAATGAGAAACTTTCTCCAAATACTGTTGAGTCCAGACCAAGAACACTGGACTCAATAGCACATTCAGTAAATAAATTTTGTTTAGTAGCAAAGTTCACTAAATGGGTAATGCCAAAAACAAGCAAACAAGTCCAAAGCACAAAGACGAGAGAGAATGCTGGAACGCTTGACTAAACAGACAAAGACGGACGGGCGCAGAAGGGAGGAAACGCAGAGACTATACACTACACAGGTGCAGGTGATTAGGGCGGGGCAAACAATTACAACAGGGAAACACACAAGGGCAGGAAGTGAAGGGATCTGATACGAGCGGGAAAGGACAGTACAAAATAAAACAGGAAACGCACCAACTAATAATTACTAATAAGTGAAACACACTAAGATGACTGAACCATGACAAATATTGACTTAATATCTCAAAATAATAACTTAGTATCTTAAAATAATGATTTATAGTTTTTTTATAATAATAGTTTCTCTATTTTCTCATATTAAGTTTATAGGTTTAAGTTGTTCAAATGTTTGCATTGTTTGGTCTGAATATCTTGCATATAGCAGCAGACCATCCACCCAGTAACAGAGACTTCCATCCATTCCACTGTCTGATTGTATGATTTGTGCATAGACTGTTTTCCAAGCAGGAAAAGCACTGCTGTAATTAATAACAATAATAATGACCAGGGCTCTGGTATTGCACATACTGGATCACTGAAATGGCTCACTGGGAAACTTATAATGAAACAACATCATCATCTGTGTATTTTATGCACTGACAAGTCAAAATATGTGCCATGAAAAAGGTCAAATAGATATGTATACCTCCTCCAAATAAAACTCCTTTCAGTTCATCAACATCACAATAAAGTTCTTTCATGTCTTAACAAGGCACACATGGACTTTTATTTTGAAGTCAGATAACTCTTCTCCTTGAATCCTCTTAGCAGATTAGCCTTTCAAAAGCAAACCCTTCAGTTGCAGCGCTGGAAGTCAGTGGTCACTTCACTACACTGTAAACAAACACTACACCTGAGCTGTGTGAGATGCCACGTTTCCACGATGTCAGATGAAAACCAGAGAGATTCAGAAGAGGATGACAGTGATGACAGTGATGACAGTGAGAGTGAATCTAGCGGTGCTTCATCTTTCACCACTTTTTTTAACAGATTCATTTCAGGTAGGTTATTGGCATTTTTCAGTCAGTTTGAATTAATTTTTGGTGCGTTTATAAATACTGGCATTATTTGCAATGTAAGCTACGAACAGTAGAGGGCAGCGGAGTCGCAACTTGATGACACCATTTGTTGACGTTGTCGTCACAGTGTGCGACAATTATTGTAGTCTTTACATGGTGGCGGAACTAAAGGCAGGAGTAATTAGCTCGCAATTAACCACTAGCTAGACAGTGAAAAGCTAATGAATGTGCTTGTTAATTGTTTTATTAACAAGGCAAACGATACCTGTAATACAAATTTAATGTGGTGGTATAAAACTTGCTGCCATTAGTCAGTAAGGTAGTCGGCGCGTAATGTGGCTTGCTCAGCTTAGTTTAGCCTTTAGCTAAGCGGCATTGCTCAACTCAGTTTCAACAGATATGTGTCTCAATAAGGAAGGAGCTTGTTACTGTAACACCTAGCTAGCAGCCTGTGTGACTGAACGACTGTCGTTCATATGTTATTGTGTTGACCTGTCGTTGGTTAAATAGGCTTTCTCGGAAACTGGAGCTGCCTGCGAAACGTTCACAACATGTTGAACATTCCGACCCAATCGTTCCCTGCGCCGAGCTCCCAGCAGCGAGTCGCTCCGGCCGGCCAGTCCGGGAGGAACAAGGTAACCCTGAGGAAACCCGGTTTCTCTTCCTGTAGAGACTATACTGAACTCCATTCTAAAACATGGCAGTTTACAGTTGGCTTTCAATGACTGAGGTACATATGCTATAATAATAGTGAGGTTCATGTCTGGCTAAACCCTTAACTGCTCGTCTTTATTTCGGCATAATATAATAAACATTATAAGGGTTGGGAGGGTAAAATGTAATCAGGTACAGTTACCAATTACCTGTTAAAAAATGTTGTCAGTAACCTGATCTAATTCAGTTATTCTTCAGTCAGCATTGGGTACACCCATTTCTACATCCCCTCTGATGTGCATCATTCACTAGTGTTCTGGAGACCTGAATTTTTTCCTAGGATAGCGAAGGCATGACATAATTGATAAATGAGTGGATGGAGTAAGGAATAAGGAAAATTTCACTCAAAATGCATCATTATGTTGTTGTCTCACCTGTCTGTGGGTCAGTATTGATTAAAATCTGCACCTCTGTGGTAGATGTTAATGTCATAATGATCCTTACTCACTGAAGTCAGGCAGAAGTTAAGTCACAGTGACCAGACTACCGGCCCATTTTTGGGTGCAGTAATTTTGCAGGAGTAGTCTACATGTAACTGTGCGTGTTTATCCCTTGCTGGACAGGCAAAAAATTCAAATAAATACAAATTGCAGAATATTTTAAGAAGATAATTCTCCTGTCACCACTACACCGCTACGTAACTTGATCTTGAACTTGAACTTTCTGTTAAATCTGGGTTACCCCAACACCAAATATGTAAATAAAAAGAGAAATGTCAAAAATAAGTAGTGATGCAAGTGTATTCTATAAGACAACAGAGCAGTGTAACTTTTTGAAAGGAAACAGACAAAATTAAACATTAAACATTTTTACAATCAAAAATGTGCTCTGTGTATTTTTAAAGAAAAAAGTTTTTTAAAGTTATAATCCCCATTTTTACTAAATGCAGCTGTAATCAGATTTTTCTGCAATTGGAATGGATTACAGTTACCCTGTTTTGTATCCTGATTAAGTAACTCAGTTACATGAACATTATGGTGTATATTTGAAATAATAGACATTAATAACTGGTATGTTACTGTAGCAATATATGCAATTTACTTGTTTTTATTAATTCAAAATAGGATAATATACAAACTTTTAGAAAAACCATAGCTGCACATACGGGGACATAAAAGGAGTACACAAATACATAAATAAAAACATTTAATCAGAGGAGGAGCGTTTCATAGTGAATCAAAAGCTTATGTTTACTGAACTGAATGATTTAAGTAGGACATTTGTTTTTAAGAGAAAAGGTTAGAACTTAGTAAGCGATTTAGAGACTGTCTGCTAGTGAATAAACAGCATGTATCAGTTACTGTAGCAATATTCTGTAACCAAACTCTGTAGATGATGCTGCTGTATCTTAAATTTGGCCTTAACAGGCCTTCACACGTCACTCCCCAGAAGGGAATAAAAATCCAGCATTTCCTCTGTTACATGACTCTGCCCCTAGGTGGCCTTGAAGCCCGGCCACAGTCTGATGGACTGGATTCGGTTTTCCAAGAGTGGAAAAGATCTGACCGGGCTCAGAGGGCGCCTGATTGATGTTACCCAGGAAGAGCTGCAGAAACACAACAGAAGAGATGACTGCTGGACCTGCATACGAGGTGAGCCTGAATGAGCCCTAGTCTGAGAGGACAGGGGCCCAAGCCCTGCATCGTAGCTGCAGTGTTTAGCCAGTCGGTGAGTACTTGATGTCAGCTTAATGATGCTTGATCCCACTTTGTCTTGAATACAATGAGATTTAAAGAGGTGTGTTCCGGGGACGTCCAGTACTAATGTCAACTAGACCAGAGCAGTGAACCCTCACAGACTCAGCAAAGGCATGTGAGAGCAGGTACAAGGGCTCAAAATGCTTTAGGAGGGAGGGTGCAGCGCTATTGAAAATACAATTTTATCTGGAGGCAAACACATTTATTTTGCCAGTAAAAGCCTAAGTTGCAAGACTCTTAAGTATTGGACACAATAA